GGAGAACCATCATCAAACTGCGCCCTAGTGAAGTGTGCAGTGGCATTTTCGGTCGGGACATGAGAGAGGGAAGACATAAAGTTGTTAGATACTATAGACTAAGAAGCAAGGAGATGCTTCCAGTTCAAAGGAGACTCACTGGAGGAGGAAGGGGAGTTGAAGGAGGAAGAAAAGGGAAGAAATAGTGAAGATGACATCCTAGGAGGAGTCCTCCCCAAGGGAGGACTAGTGGCGACAAGGTTTCGCAAAAAATTCATAGAGCAGCACCAGAGAACTGCTCAACTCATAGTTAATGACATTTATGACTTGAAGTTTATTTGTGAGCTCATTAAATATGTTTTATGAGTACAATATGAGTTAGGCTTAACCCTAAACTTGGTTCATTTACTCTCATAAACATAAATAAAGAGTGGATCATAATGTTAATATTTAATTGAGTGTGTGCTAATTTAGTTTATCTTGAAAAAAAAAAATCATTCATGTTGCATCATGGAATATTCGCAATAGTATAGAGATATAAAGTTGGCAGGCTATGGTTGTCAGAGGGATCGTAGTCAGCAGGCAAGAGCGATCGGATGTATTGTAGTTGGAAGGCGATAGTGGTCGGAGGGACCGTAATCGATGGGCGATATTAGTCGAAAGGATCATAGTCGGCATACAGCGTTAATTGGATGGACCATAATTGGTGGGCGACGGTGGTCAGAGGGACCGTATTTGACAAGAACTCCAACGATGGTCATGATAGATGGAGGGAGCAAGAGAGCTCTCAAGTTCTCTCATTTTCTACTCTTACTCTCATGTGAAGAATGAGGGACTATTTATTATTTTATGGAGTGGTATGACTAGTAAATATAGAGAAGATCAAGGGTAGGTTGTGAGTATTCCAACATATGGCTGATGTTGACCTCAATTTTGGCTCGAATATGCTCGACGACCTTCGATTGATTCAATTAGACCTCATCGAGCCAAATTCCAACTCGAATTGATCCGAATTGATTTAAATTAGACTCGACATTTAAAATTGATGTCAATTTTAAATTCAATTCGTACGATTAAATTCGTTCCTGATTATTTATAATATTTTTAAGAATTATGAATAATAAATATTCTATAACTTTTTTTATCGATCAGGATTATGCAATAATTAGGGCAATAGAGACTGCATTACCTAATACACGACATAGATTATGCCAATGGCATATCTACAAGAAGATTCCTTCCAAAGTATGGTACTTTAATAGTAAGAATAAAGTGAAAGACATATTTTATACTTGTTTCATCAAGTGTGATTCTAAGGATGAGTTTGAGAGAACATGAAATGAAATGATCATAGAAGGGAACCTCCATAGCCATCAATGGTTGAAAGATCTATATAAAATTAGGCAAAAGTGGTCAACAACATTCAACAAAAATTATTTTAACCTTAGCATTTTATATACATAACATAGTGAGTCCACCAATCATACATGTCATGGCATTTCGAAGCCAACCAATTCTATCACTGATTGTTTCATGGGGTTGGAAAATGTGATGAAAACTTGGCGTATGAATGAACAATATGAAAATTTTAGATGTAGTCAAACAGAGATACAATTTTATATTAAAAGTAGCTCAATATTAAAGCAAGCTGCCCTTTTTTTTTAGAGTTGTGCTCATTTTTTGAAGATGAGTTCTTACATGATGTAGGTGGACTGTGCATCGATCATTTTTCCTCGGACTCATCGATGTTTTCCGTGAAGAATATAAACAACTCTTTTGAGTTATAAGAGTGGATTGTTCAATTTAATTCTTCCCAAGGAACCATACGATGCAACTGTGCGAAGTTTAAGATGATGAGTTTATTATATTCTCATTGCATGAGAGTTCTGAGGCATATATATATATATTGTTAATATTCATGAAAAATATTTTCTGCCAAGATAGTCAGCCAGAGCTCATAGAGATCTATATGCTGGATAGAAAATAACATGTATAGGAAAGAATGCATGCCAATCACATGAGAGATTTAGTAACATGATATTTAAAAATTATATTTATTGATTTGCATATCAAATTAGCACAGAAGCACATGGTAATGAGGAGGCAAAATAATATATGTTCGATGCAATAAGTGTAATGGCTGAAAAGGTTCAGCACATGATGCTCGTATTTTTAAACATGCTATGAAAGATCCTATATTTAATTTTCCTACACCACCAACATGTAAGTTTTAAAAACAAAATAATTATGTACCATATTGTTTTAATATATTATGTTGTATCAATTAATTTTTTTTACATGTGTGAACATGTAAATATTATTTAGTTGATGCAGCTTATCCTTTACAAAGAGGCTATTTAAAGCCTTACCTAGAAACAATATATCATTTAGCAGATTAAAAAAAAAAAAAGATATCATTTAGCATATTTTATTAAAGGAAGTCAACATGTAAGGGATCACAAGGAAGTTTTTAATAAAAGACAATCATCATTATGAAGTATTATTGAGCGTGCATTTGGTGTGTGGAAAAAGAAATGGAGAATTCTAAATGATATGCCAGATTATTCATTTAAGAAACAACGTCTCATAGTTGTAGCTACAACGGCATTGTATAATTTTATAAGAAGACATAAGTCAAGGATCGATTCAGATTTTGATGAGTATGAAATGGATGATAATTTTGATTATTGTCATTCTACTCCAAATGGAGATGCAGAACAAGTTGAAAGAAATCTATGTTGATAATGATGTGTGTTCGTTTGATGGTGAAGGTGCAACTGAAATGACTGAACTTCGAGATAATATTGTAATACAGTTGTACAACTTTAGTAGGTATTACAATTGTCTAATAAATGTTAGTTATTTTTAAATATTATGGAGGAATCATGTTTTATGTTTGTTTATGTTATTATTGATGAAGTAGGTAATGAGTCTTAATTTATATTTTTATATTTCAGGTGTGCATATGAGATGTGATGCTGAGAATGTAGAGAATGAATGAATATGCAGATGTCAATTGATTGTTATATTTTTTTTTGTTTATATTCTTGTCATTGAAATAAATTTAGTTGAATAAAGAAGTTATGTTTGTGTTAATGAATTAGTAGATGGTGTTTGGTAATATTAAACTTATGATTGTAGTTTAATCAAATTTCATCTTCTTTCAACACTATGTCATATTGTTTGAGCAATTGTACTCCAACTCGGACACACTATGAAGACATTTTGAGACAAAAATTTTCTGTTAATGTAAGAATAATAAGGAGAAGGAAATAAGGGCTTTCTTCATAAGTTTTTTTTTTTAATTTGGTTGAGCTGTTTTCAAGCAGAAACAGACAGTAGAAATGAAACATAAAAAGAATAATAGCGAGGAAGAAGAAGAAGAAGAAGGTTAAAGGAGAAATTAGTAAAGCGGATATTGATTCATTCTTATGAGCATGCTTCTATGCTATGTTTACTTTGTATATATGAAGATAATGAAGACAATTTACATATAATTTATTCAAATTTATATGTTAATAACTATTTAGGAGTAGTGGTTTATTATGGTTTACTTGAATATATAATTTAAAGAATCTATGCTGCTCAAGAATCATAATTTATAACATATTAATGCGTTCTAAGTAACGTTCATATATTTTGGCTTAAAAAAAAAGTAATTTAATTTGTGGAAACATAAGTTGATGTTAAGATGTTAACATGGACACTGGATTGTTGATTTTAGAATTTAATTCTCTGATAAAATATTTATTCTAAAATAAAATATGTTATTTGAAAAACTATAAATTTCATTGTCAAAGTGATCGCCATTAAAGAATGGACGATGGTCTGGGTAATTAGAGGGCAAATTTGTCTTTTGTGGTTAGAGTAGTAGAGGTTTTATTATTGAGGCAGCATTAAGAAAAATGTAACCAAACTGATATCACGTTTAGGAAATACATTTTTTTAGAACGTCGTTTCTTTAGTAACTGCTTGACGACCTCCTTATGAAAAAGGTGGATAGGAATCAAACGAGGCCTGAGTTTCTTAAAGTTATGGGCCACCTACTTGAAAAATAAGTAAATAATTGGGGCTTTAATAGTTCTGTGGTTTATATGTTCCACTCATAAAATATATTCTTCATTAATAATATTGAAATTTTATTAATAGCTCAAATATAACTAAAGCAACTTTATAATACAAAAATTACATAACTAAAAAATTTTGTGGTAAAAGTAACTTTAGGAAGCAATAAGAAAATTCTCTCAAACAAAATCTTGATATTTGCATTATTAGAAATTAAGATTATGATGGATTAGCAATAAACATTGTGGTTAGCAATAAAGGATGATTAATAGTAAGAGTGGCTTTTTCTTATATTATAAGTGATGGTTTTTTTCTCGTTGGTTGATGAAAAAGTTTCGCCCTGCATGTTCCTTGTTCGATGCTCTCAAGTGCTAAAAAAAAAATTGTGACCAAATGATTGAAATCAGTTTCATTTATGATTTTTTGACTAACTTTTAGGATAAAGACCAACCGGGAAAAAAGTGACAAAAAATAACCTACTTTTTAAACATAGAACACAAAAAAATCTAATAAGTACCAAAATGCTTTTACCCACAAAAATATTATAGTACATATTTCACAAGAATACTTGAACATAAGCATAAAAATTCCAACTATTAAACAAAATAAAAAAAGGGAAATCAAATTTCTCTATATTATTATAAAAAGTTAAATATATGTACAAATAATCTATATTTAATATGCCAAAAATATATATTTTTATTTCATATAAATGGTAAAAAATTTAACATGATTAGAAATCCTTAAACAAAATATAATACTGGTAGTGCAAATAATATTTATCGATAAAAACACCAAAATATATAATATAATTACTAAATTCTAATTATTCTACATCAAATTATCCTTTACACTCATTGACTCATCACTAAAATCAGGATGATAATACTAAATATTATGAATATCAGAAGATAAAACTCTGTTCTTTACGTTATCGGGCGGCCGCGGCCTGAAGCGCTGCGACCAGGCCGGCCCCACCTGACTCACGACCAAATCATTCACTGTCGTCTATCCATTCATCATTTCCACGCTTACGTTTTAATATTCTCCTCCTCAGTAGTGCGCGCAGTCCTGTGATTTCTCCAACCTCCCCTTCCAGCCATTGTTTGCACCATCGAAAGAGTGTTAGGGATGGGGTTTCTGAGGAAGGAGTACCAGTTCCTCTCGGAGATTGGCCTCGGCCCACGGAATCCCGGCTGCTATCTGAACGGCTCATGGAGAGGGAGCGGACCCTTGGTCGCCTCGTTGAATCCCGCTAATAACGAGGCGTGATCTCGAAGCTCTTTCTCGTCGTTTTGTAATTTCATGATTAGTGTAGTATTTGGTGATTGGGTTTGTGATGTCTCTTGATTTTCGATTATTCTTGACGAGTTTTGGCTCTGCACGCTTTGTTTAGGTTATTGCCGAAGTGATGGAGGCCTCAATGGATGACTACGAGGAAGGGATGAAGGCCTGTTTTGATGCTTCTAAGATATGGATGCAGGTACCACTGTTTGCTTTCACGGGTGAACCATTCTATTTCTACCTGATATGCTGGTTTTTTGTCTAGTGGAGGTTTTTGTAGCAAGTTTTCTTGGTCATTTATTAAAGACTGGGGATTGGAAGTAATGTAAATGTGTTGTTTTGTTATTGTTACTAGTGCCATGAGAATAATTCTCCTGATACTTGTCCTAGGTTTATGTAGGCTTCGATAAAGCAGATTCTGCGGTGGGTTTGATCTTTTCCTGGAATGCCAAATTATGCATTTATTGATATCGTTAATTTCGATTTATTTTCACATGCATAGGAGAACTTTGTTTGGTCTTATGCTTCCCTGTTTAGAGATCCCATCCGAGAACTCATTGGTTGCTGACCATTGCTAAAGATTGCTCGGCAAGTACCGTTAGCTTCTCATATGGTATGGTCGGTCTGGCGAAAAATTGTTCACGTTTCACACAATGACCACTCCCTAATTTGTAGTCGTGAGCTTTTTTGAAATCATTTTGAAATCAGATATGTGTTCTATTTGAGGTTCTCCTGTGAAAAGTTGGCACTGATTATCCATTCTGCAATTTTTAGCATGCTTATTAGAGATCATACAAGGCATCAGTGACCAATCTTTATGTAGCGACTATAATGAAGGCATAAATCTGTATCTAGTTACTTGTTCACAGCCATATTGTACAACTTAAATTACAGATTTTTATAATCTTCTATTCCTTTTGATCTATTCACTTTTTGGTATGGCATGAACTTCAATATGGCAGTTAAGATATACTAGAGAGAATTCGCTGTATAGCTCTATCCTTGACTCATTTTTGAGTTTGTCACCTTGCTAAACTTTTTAGCTTTGTGTGGGCTTTTGCAAGATCGTGCACTTTTCTGGAAGAAAATATATTACATGTACTTAATGCAAATGCTGAATTCATTAGAATAGTCTAGTGGTTTGATTGCTAATCAGCTCTATTGTTTTCATCAGTTACCAGCTCCAAAGAGGGGCGACATTGTTAGGCAGATTGGAGATGCATTGAGAGCTAGACTCCAGCACCTTGGTAGGCTTGTCTCACTTGAGATGGGAAAAATATTACCTGAAGGGATTGGTGAAGTTCAAGTGAGAATCATCATGCCCTTAGTGATCTCATTTATTGAGAATTTCTGTATGTTATGTTATGAGTAGTACCGTCTTGTCTTGCTATTTTCTTTTTTGCTTTTTAATATTATCATAAGCCTAAATTAGGGACTTTATGATTGAATATGCACCAAGGTCCAACCTTTGGTGAGTTAAATGTTATTACAATGTTTGAAGCAGCCATTTATGCATATACTTTTATTATATGTTCTAAGAGATTCCTTTAAAGTGACTCATATTTGTCCATTCTGCTTAATGCAAATAAATGCCAAACTATGTACTAGCATCTACTAAATAAAGAGTCTCGCATCAGTTTTCCTTGCATAAGAATATAATGGTACATCATCTTATCACTGAAAGCATTGCAGTAATTATATCAGTATGCAAACTTTCTCACATTTATGTGAAATCCCATCATATTTTTGTAGTTTTTTTTCCCAAAGTTGTCACTCTATCCTTCAATTTAGTTATCTTAATGGAAAAGAGTTATATGGGGTCGTAACTCCAATTTTTTGCAAATCGAAGCAGTATATTTTTGGGTGTTAGATAAAGTAGAGGGAAAGAACTACTAAGAGATATTGCCTTTATTCGAAGACTTCATATTCTTGGTTCAAGGTTTTAAAGGGGTGATGATGCACGCTCAAGATTAATAACACCTCTTTCTCGTGTGTTTCCCAAAGTTGTTGTTAATCTAAATTTTACTTATCCTAAAACATTTTCTATACTCTTCATCTGAAACACTAACCTGATTGGTGCAATGCTGTTGCCAATGATGAACGATGAGAAAGAAGAATCATGCAAGGTTAGAGTTGGAAACTTGGAATAGACCATCGATGCCTGGTCTAAATTGATGCAAATTTTTATTTAAATTGAGTCACCACATAGTCATCATTATTTTTTTGATAAAAGAAAGACTCATTTATTAACTCTATAACGTTTAAATTTTTTGAATACATTACCATTGGATTTTTGTTTCATATCACTTGATTGAGATTAATTTGATAAATAATTATTTATCTTTTTTAGTGATTAAGTTAAGAGCATTTACTTTTGCCCCCTAATTGATCCACAAAGAAACATTAGATGAGCGAAGTCGGTAAGTCACAAAGCTTGAGCCAGACTTAGGTGCCCAAGTATAGCTTGCATGCCTTAAAATATCGAATTGATCTCATAATGACCAAGCATGCTTTATGTCCTTAAAACTCAGGTCGATTTATAATCTTACGACCATATCATGCAAGAAAAATTTATCTGTCTTGAAAGTTTGGATCAACCTTAAAAGATTGAGCATAGTTGAAATGCCTGAAAAGGTCAAATTAGTTTACAGTCTTGAAAAAAAAAGTTTAGAGTCTTGGCATTCACGCATGACCAACATGCTTTAAACACTTGGATCAGCCTTATAATGATCAAGCATTACCAAAAGGCCTCAAAAGCATAGGTTGGTTCGGAGATTTAGGGTTAGAATTAAGTATTCAAGCATAAGTTATGCACCTTAAAAGCTTGTATCGACCTTACAATGATTGGGCATGGTTTTAATGTCATAAAAGTTTAGGATAGTTTAGAAACTTAGGGCTGGACTTAAGCATTCAAGCATATCTTACATGCCTTAAAAATTTGGATTGACCTTTTAATTTAAGAGTATGCATGAAAAACCTCAAAAGCTTAGGTCAATTGAGAGTCTTAAGGTTGGACTCAAGTGAATTTTATTGTCCATAATAGTTTATGTAATGCCTTTATGGCGTGGGGATAGCTATTTATTCTATCATGGAAGTAACCAAAAATTTAGGAAATTTTTTTTGTGCCTCACTTGAGAAGAGGGTGCTAGAAGAGTATTGGGCCAATCCAACATGACTCTAAAATTGTATATTGTGTGGTGCATAAAATGTTAAGATTGAAAAGGAGGCTCCAGCCGTATTAAAAGCTTGGCTAGTTGGTGCATGAAGTTGTTCGATAGAACGAAACCTCATCACCACCCAAATGTGCCTATCGAACTTTGGGAATCTATTGTAGTGGATAGTTAAAAACAATATAACAATAATAAAATGTGGAGAGGCTATCCACTATGGCACGAAAGGCATGTGTGAGCCTTTGGGAGGATTTCTACCATGCTCCCAAAGGTGTGTATAATAAGAGTGTCAATTTAGGTTTATAGGTTAAGTTTGGGTTCAACCTGAAAATGACCAACATGAACAAAGTCAGCCTGAATATAAAATGTTAATTAAGCAAGTTGATAATTGTAACTTAAATATGACTTGTTAAGCCAAACTTGAGTTGCCTTGACAGGAGTAGTCATGTAGTATTAGTGTTAGCAACACAACATGAACTTTACAAAATGGTTCATTTTGTATATAAAAACTAAAAAAATACTTTTTATGAGTTTTGTTGTAGTTGAAAAAAAGAAAAATTCACATGTCAATTGGTTTAGTTTGTGTTTCTAGTTGGCCTGAATATGATCTAATTTTTTTGAGTCCTACAAGGATGACCCCGACCCAAATTCTATATGGGTTGACTTGAAACTATAACTTTTTGTGTTGGGTTCTAGTTGGGTTGTCATGTGAAATCTAATATTCATACCCCTATTGCATGGATCTCGTTAGATTTTAGTTGCAAATAAAAATTAATAGAATTAATATAAGAGGACCTCACCACTACTCGTCCCTAAAGGCGTGGATTGGTGGACTTGTTGACCCTTGCTTTATATGGAAGCCAAATGAATACTCTCGCAAGATTTTGGTTAATAGTATCAATAGGAATATGTGAGAATATAGTGCGCTAACTCAATATAATGGATGATTCAACTAGGTGTAAATCACATTTTTTTAGCACCACTTCACCTTCCTCAGGATAGTTTGTAAGTTCTAAAAGGCATTTTGCCCCATCCCTCTTCAGTTAGTTAACCACCGACTTCCTAGAAATTGTAGAATTACTGGGTGATGTGGACTAATACGTGGACAATGAATTTTTTGGCCACTGGTCATCATTTTTTATTTTGGGTTATAGAATATGCAGACATGTGTGATGCTACACATGGGATATATACCCAAAAAACATAGGTTTTTGTACTTCACTTGGAAACCTGAATTGTGATCTTTTTGATGACAAAGAGGTTTTTGGTGCATTTGGTGACTTGTCGTAGAACCACTTCTTTGTGCATAAACATCGACCTCTTTTTAGGATTGTAGATTGTGGAACTATAATTGGTGTTAATGAATTTTTGATGTAGACCGAAAAAAAAAAGAGGAATTTCAAAAGCCATGAACTTGTCTATTTTTCTCTCAACTATACAAGCACTATGTTAACTCTTTTGTAATCATTTTATGCAGGAAATTATTGATATGTGTGATTTTGCAGTTGGGTTGAGTCGGCAACTAAATGGATCGGTGATACCTTCAGAACGTGAGATCATCCCCATAATTTCTCATGTTCTTTGTATCACAATTCTTAATTTTTCAATTTTACATTATACAATCACAATAGAGTTGTATGAATTTCTCTGAAAATTTCATTGTTTTCCGTCGTATTAACAGGTCCAAATCACATGATGTTGGAGGTGATGATGATATTTTCCTTTTGAGAGAAGATTCTTTTTATTTTACAATAATGGCAGGATATAACTTATGGTTTTCGTTCATGTTTTTCTTCATATAATTCAGATTTGGAATCCCTTAGGTGTAGTGGGTGTTATTACCGCGTTCAACTTCCCATGTGCTGTGCTTGGTAAGTTTGCACTTCATCTCCATTTCATTATAAGTTCATTTGGACGTAATATGTATGCTAATATGGGATTCAGGCTTGCCATTAGACTCGTTAAATATTACAGGATATAGCCCATCATAAACATCAATTCTGAAGCAAATTTAAGTATAATGATGAGTTATTTTGGGGGACAATGCACTCTTCATCTCCATTTCATCAAAATTTCATGTAGACGTAATAGATATGCTAATATGGGATTTAGGCTTGCCGGTAGACTCGTTAAGTATTACACGATATAGACCATAATTGATCATCATAAGCATCATTTCTGAAATAAATTTAAGTATCATGATGAGTAATTTTGGGTTAAAAAGTATATATAGCTCAACCAACCTTTTTTTAAGTTTATTCATCATACTTATATTCCTTACTTTAATTTTATAATAATTTATTTGAGATATTCTCTGTGTTTTCTCAATGTTTACGTTTTCAAACTCCATGTGTGAGATGTATTTTTGGTTCTTAAGTACACGCATTAACTTTTTTTTTTAATGTTAAAGTCTTTTTCCTTTTGATGCAGGATGGAATGCCTGTATTGCGCTGGTATGTGGAAACTGCGTTGTATGGTAAGGCATTTATGTTATAGATTAATTTGACATCTTATTTTCCATTAAATTTTAGACATAAATTATTCACGTGCAAGTGCATTGACTTCTCATGCTTTTTACTGTTTGCTTGTGCAGATGCTCTCCCATACCCATCTAATAACGTTACCCTTTTTTGCTTGAATTTGTTATTTAAACGTACTTTCAAACCTCTGGCATTTAAAAAAAATAGAAAGTTAGTATCGTTTCTTGTCATGCCATTTTCTTAACTCCTTTATTATTTCTTAGACCGTGTGAATAGATGGTTGGAATCACTTTATGAAAAGTTTCAGTTTATTTGACACTAAATTCTTTGGGAGGTTTGCTGTAAAGTTTCTTTTGTTGATGAATGAAAAAAGTCGGTTCGAGAACTAAAAGAGCATATATAGTAAATATTTGAGCTATTACCTCGAATGATCCTTCCTATGATTTATTATATATAGTTTTTCCTATGTTAATTAGTGCTTAATGTTTTATTTTCCATAATATTGCCGTGTTCACCCAGTAAATGCGAGCAGCACTTTCCATGATCGTATACAAATAATGCTATGTTAGGATGATCTGATAGGAAATACTTGAGTTCGCAAGTAATCCTAAGGAATACTTGAGTTCGCAATCAAACCAAATCGAAATCGGTGGGAAAAACAGCAAGAAAACTGCTGTTTTCAGCAGTGGACAGCAGTCAACACAGGAAAACAGAGAGAAATTTGAAGGAAAAATCAATAAACAACTTGTATACCACTAGTACATGATTGAAAACAACAAAAGATACAATGTTCTTCAATTCGAGAGGAAGAACAACTCTCCACAAGTCTCTAGCAAACCCTAGAGCCCAAGCACAAGACAATATCTCCAAATTTTCTTCAAATTCAAGATGAAAACCTAATTCTATCATTACTCCCTAATCAAAGCTAAAGGAGAGATACAAATTCCCTAAACACCCTTGTAAGTCAAAATTTCCCTCCCAATACTAGATTTAACTCAAACTGGGGCCCACAAGGTGGTCCGTCCCCCCTCTTCCTTGCTGGTTCCGCTGGCTATACACAAGGACCGGTCCAGCCGGCCCCTCCTGGGCCAGCCTATCATGATCCTAAACAAATAAAATGCTTTGTTGAAATTCTATATTTGAATTATTGTTTCTTGAGGAGGGCAGCAGAGATACTGAAGCTGATATTTTGTTATGTCAGAAATTGGATGGCTACGTAGATCAATACCAATAACTCTCCCACGATCTATAAAATTCACACATCTAAGTTTATTTTTTTGTAATGTAATGCTCAATAATTTTTAACTTCATGGCTCTATCATTACAGGAAAGGTGCACCAACAACCCCACTAATCACTATTGCAATGACTGAACTAATTGCTGGAGTTTTGGAGAAGAACAATTTACCAGGTGCTATTTTCACAGCATTTTGTGGAGGTGCTGAAATTGGTCAAGCAATAGCTCGCGACATACGATTACCTCTTGTATCATTTACTGGAAGTTCGAAGGTATGACATCCATGCTGGGAGCTCATTGAGATCATAGATGAAAATAAGTTTTTATGTTGCGAATACTGATTTGGTATGCTGTGTAATGTCCTATGCTGTGATTGCTGCTTGGCTTAATGGTGGAGTTTCATAATGTTAATTTTTGAATTTTATTCTAGTTGATGGTAGGAGTGTTCAAGGTGTCCTAATTGTAATGATAATATATGATGATTTGTGATACAGTATGATATTCCAATCATTCACTTTATATATGCTCATATGTGTGCACATACACACACACACACACTATATATATATATATATATATAACGCATACTTAGTAGTACACACATATGAAGATGTTTGCAAAACATACACATTCATCTGTCTATGATAGTAAACAAGCACATATAGTAAAACAATAGTTTCATATTCATTGATTTTCGTATCAACTCTCATCTGGTTGCTTGAAGATAGAAAGCATGTTCTGAAAAATAATAAGTTTAATAATTTGGGTGGATGTAGTTATAAATAAATATGAATTTTAAACTCTACAAATGCCTTGAAAATCTCTCAAACTGAAGATTTCATTTTCACATTTAAATTGAGTGAAAATGAAATAATATTGTTCTAAAATATCATTTATATCTAGAAGAAACCAAATGAGTCCTTAACATGTTCTCATATACTTTGCTGGAATGTTAGATATTTTGCATATTTTATGTTGTTAGAAGGCTGGTTTTTTAAAAGGGTATATATACCTATAATATTTAGTAATAGGATATTTAAAAAATAATAACAATGGGAGCTAGTTTCCCCAGTCATGGGAGCCTAGAGCAAGTCGCCCCATCCTTGGGCGACTTAGTGGTGCCCGGCGGCCCTCACCTGCAAATTTTTTTTTTTTAATTTTTCTTTAAATTTATAGTTATATGAATTTAAAACTTAAAATTTAAATTTTAAATATATATAAAATTTTCATCATAGCTAAATGAAGTTTAATAGTTTATAATTAAAATTTGATATTTGAAATTAAAAATTATGCAAGAAGTTGTGATTTTGATGAAAAGGCATCCGCCTGTTTAATTGGGGTGGGGCCCAGCTGTCCAGTTAGCAATTAAGGGCAACAATTAAGAGAAAATTAAAGAGGGGATTAAGAGGAAAATTCAAATTTGTAGAGTTGTTTTGGCATTAACTGTAGTTTGTATGCTTTAAATACATTGTTTACCCTAGGGTTAGGTTTCATTGGGTGTTTTCTGAAATTTGGAGAATTCTTAGGTTTTGTTTGGGCTATAGTAGCGTCTAGAGATTTGAGAGAGCCGGATCCTTCTCTCCAATTGAGGATCCATTGTATCTTGCTGTTTTCTTTCATCTATTATCAGTAAAATCTTCTCTCGCTAGTGTTTCCACCAAAATTCTTCTTAATTTCTGGGTTTGAACCTTGCTGAAATTCAAATTCCGCCAAGTTAAATTGATTTCTACTATTGTATCCTATCAACATCTTTTAAAAAATTGGCCTTAACATGTTCTCATTTACTTGGCTGGAATGTTATATATTTTGCATATTTTATGTTGCCGGAATATTAGGCATCTTATGCGGCCTTTTTTTAAAAATATTGAAGCTATATTTATGAAAAGTTTTGTAGGATTTGCCATTTTGCTGACCCTGTACAATATATACCTATTCTATTTAGTATTTTTCAACTGGGTTTTGAAGTGATTTGTATGGAGCATCAAGGTGTTGGAACAGTAGGTAATATACCTGTAACATCCCTTTTTTAAATGACTGATTTTTAGATTATTATTCTTTAGTTTTTGCATTATATAAGAGGATTTAAAAGTCAAGCAGGGCCTTTTTTGGGTCATACTTTACAGTAACTAGGTTTCTCATTTAAGTTGGGGTAATTGCCACAAAATGGTCTTGGTTTTGCTGAAGCTTATTTATTTTACAAGCATTTAGAAAATTTGTAGCCGACCCCACATAGTGAGATAAAGGCTTGATGATGTTGTTGTTGAGAAAATTTGTGGGTTATCATACTTCTATGGATTTATTTCCATTTATCTTAAAATTTTTTTCATAAGTATTTGTTTAATATATTGATGCAGGCTTTCATCCCTTAGTTGAAATGTTTCTGGTGAACCCAGTGAATGTATGTAATGTAAATATCCTCGGGCTTTAATGCTTTTCAGAAGTAATTCAATCCTCTTGGAAGTACAGTTAACTACGTATTTATTTAATCATTAAAATTCTTTCTTCATAAATAAACATCAAATGTTGAAATCATTTACTTTAGCTGCCTTTTAAGTTAGTTCTTTCTTAAACTAGCGTAGGAGATTCAACTATCTCGTACATTTTGTCATTTTCTTTTACTTACCTGAGGTTTGCTATTTAGATGGACTGTTTTCATTTTTCTGTCCATGATTCGTCTGTATGTATATGCAAGCCATGATATCAAGTTCATCTAAATGTTTAAATTGCTTACACGAGGTTCTTTCTAGCTCCGTGTCTTGAGGGTATGAATCATTGTATAGCCTGTTAGCATAAGCTAGAATATAGCATTCGCTTTACCAGATATCATCTTTATTTATTTGTTAATCTAACCGCTTACTAACTATGTATTTTGTCAAACTGTAGTTGGCATTGCTTATTTTTTCCAGAAGTAGGACTAGATGATTTTTTTTTTTTTTTCACTTTTTCATGTTTATTTTCTTAGATAATCCTAAAGTTAGTCTTTTATATGTTCTGGTGATATGATTTAATCTCCAAATACAGGTTGGCCTTATGGTTCAGCAGACAGTTAATGAGAGATTTGGAAAATGTTTGCTTGAACTTAGTGGGAACAATGCAATAATTGTCATGGATGATGCAGACATACAACTTGCTGTCCGCTCAGTCCTGTTTGCTGCTGTTGGTACTGCTGGACAACGCTGCACAACTTGCAGGAGGCTGGTAAGACCCGGCAATATTGAGCCTCTATCTGTTACTAACTCTGAGAGGTTAACTTCCTCCTATGTTGCTTTCATTTTGTTGGACGTAGCTACTTCATGAAGGCATATACCAAGAATTTCTGGATCAACTGCTTGCAGTATATCAGCAAGTTAAAATAGGGGATCCATTGGATAATGGTACCTTACTAGGACCACTGCATACTCCTGTTTCCAAGGAGAACTTCATAAAAGGCATCGAAGTCATTAAATCTCAGGTATGTTTAATTACTTCAATCATTTTTTAATGTAGCTGAGCAGGAATTTTTGGAGTTTCTTCATAAAGAATTGTATTTCTTTGATTTTGTATGCCGACATTGATTTCTTAATATCATCATAATTTAGGTTTATGTGCGGCAAGTGATACAAGAAGATATTGAATGAAGAGAATAAACAAAAAAATAATTATGGAAAAGATGAAGGTTGGATACAATTATATAAGAAATATTACTAACTAGATGAGCACGCCTCACTCTGAGCTTTTTTGTAAGGGTTTTACGTCACAAACTTGTGAATGTGATAAGCTATCTAATCCTGCTTGAAATTCCCTTATTTTTTAGATGAAAGAAATAGCAAATTGTTAAATTTTTTTACTAATTAATTGCTAATAAATTGCCAACAAATGACCTACTATTTAAAAAATTGCTTACAAATTTAATGGTTTATACTAAAATAAAGAATAATAAAGGCTCATATGTCCATAATGAATAAAAAATTAAGAAAATTTTTGTGCATGCATCAAGAAGGTTCTGGATTCTAGCAATGCCATATGAGGCGATTCTTAATGAAATTCATATAATGTAGCAAGCATGAAGCCTTTGCCACTATTGGAAGACCAAAAGTTGGAATAATGGTGTAGTGACGTCTTCTCTTCGCACAACCTGCAAACAACCTTAGCCAAGGGGAAGAACAGGCAATGGAACAGTAAAGAGAAAGTTCTCTGAATTCTATATTTCGTTCTCCCTCTTTCCTCCTACAGACTCCTGTAATAAAAGCTGTGGTTAAACGGTAAATAGATAATAAACTATGCCTAAAGATTTAAGTAAAAAGCTGACAAAGAAAAGTAAGATAACGGTTTGGTAATAGTGGCTGCACCCAGCCATGTGCAAAAGGTTAAGTCCGTTCCCCTGTTATACTGTAAGGCACCGCATCAGGTCCCTCCTTCTCCCAAATTGTCAGTGTCCACTGGTTTGAAATATCTGTGAGTCCGATCCATTGCAGTCTGTCCTGTCTCACAATCTCTCATTTACTCTTGTTAATTGTAGCCAAATATTTGCAAGTAGTTTCCTTAACTCAGGCTAATCGGAACGAGAACTGCCATATTAGGAGTGACTGCTAGAGTGGGAGAGAAGAAAGAAACTTAGAATTCTCAGTTATGAGAGAGATCTCCTTGATCTGCCTTAAATGTTTGAGGGAGTCGATTAATGGTGGTGCTTAGCACATTGCTAATCTTTACTATTGCGAATTGCTTGTAGTTTGTGTTAGCCGTTAGAATTAAGAGAATCTGTTAGCTGTTGCTGGGAGGAAAGGATGGGAAGAGAAATGTGCACGCAATTCTGATGTGGCGGAACACGTTAGCTCGCTTGAGCTAATGAACAGGACACCTCAATAACAACCTCATACGGTGTCCACTACCCCATTTTATCTTTTTACTTGCAGTTTTATACTTTTGGTTATTTACTGCTTTAGTAGACTTTTTAGAAGATGGAAGCAGATATAGTAGGATGAAAGGAGAAGGAATACATATACCTCACAGCTAATAGTTGTATACAGTTTTTACATATCGATAGAAATATTATAGTTCTCGGTTACATAACTTGGGTTGTTCTGTTTTCTTTGTGCTTGTGTTCTTTGCAGGTGACAGGCGTTGCATTATCTGGTATCAGAGCCAGTGCTCGGAGGAGATGGCAGATCGCGGCAAGCAACTAGTCACCGACGAAGTACCAAGCCTGGACACACTCTGGGCAAACCAGTCGAATATGAATCGCCGTCTGGACGATCTCGCAGCAGACGTTGATGCGGGCAAAAGATACAGGGAGCCTATACCCTTCGCCCACAATAGACACGACGGACTTCTATCGACTAAAATGAGAAAAGAACGAAGAAAGGGAAGAACAAACTCTTATATTTCAAATAAAAATAAAAATTACAACGACGACTTACAATCGACACGACAGACACCCTAAAGTTGCTGCACTTTGAGAAGAAGGATACAAATGGAGTGGCACTTGCGGAGAGACGAAGAGATTAGAAGCCCGAGAACAAAGGGTGGAAAGAGCCCGCAGGATTTCCGCATCGGACGACGAAACCCATTATTTTCCCAGGAAATCTCTGATTCAGATGATGAGCTGCAGGAGTATCGGAGAGCCGGTGAAGAAGAATCCGGTGAAGAAGATGGTGAAGTCAAAATCCCACAAGAGAATCCTCGGTATCGCAGAACTGGACCAGCCGTCTATCACCCGGGAGAATTTAAAGTTAAGTTAGATATCCCATTTTTTGATGGCCATTTACATATTGAAGATTACTTGGATTGAGAAAAAGCTGTTGAAAACTTCTTTGAATATTTGGAGATTGAACCAGATCGACAAGTCAAGTATGTGGCGTGTCGATTGAAAGGAGGTGCTAGTGCGTGGTGGACGCAAGTCTTACAAATGAGGCAACGAGAAGGCAAGGGCCGAGTACGGAATTGGAATCGAATGAAGCAACTCCTAAGGGCACAATTCCTACCCACGGATTATGAGCAAATTCTTTACATGCGGTACCAACATTGTGTACAAGGAGCGAGATTTGTGAACGAGTACACGGAGGAGTTCAGCAGATTAAGCGCTAGATGTAATCTCAACGAATCAGCCAATCAGTTAGTAGTCCGGTACATTGGCGGCTTGAAAGATAGCATTCAAGATAGGCTGGAGTTAAACTCTGTTTGTTCTATGTCCCAAGCAGTCAATTTCGCCTTGAAGGCGGAAATGCAGCAAAATAGACAACCAAAGAATGTCACAAATCGGCGTCATTGGAAAGAACCACATTACATGCTGTACAGCAACAACAAGGCTAACTCGGCCACCTTAAATGCGCCACCAAACGCTACCTCCATTACAACACCTTCAACTCCCATGCCCAATGTCAATTCTGAACCCAAACAACCTTGGAAGAATCGGCCAACTACTAAGGGGAATCCATATTCCAAGCCTGCCACGTTCAAGTGTTTTCGCTGTTTCCAACCGGGGCATAAATCCAATGAATGTCCTCAACGGCGACAGATTCAACTGGCCGAAGGCGAAGAAGAGGGAGACCCTGCTGAAGCAGACGAAGAAATAAAAATGGGCACGGAAGATGTCTTAGCCGATGATGGTGAGCCATTGGTCTGTATCCTAGAAAAGCTGTTGCTAGCTCCCCGACAGCCCAGTAACTCCCAACGCCATGCTATATTTCGAACCCGATGCACTATAAATGGCAAGGTCTGTGATCTATTAATTGACAGCGGATGTACATAAAATGTAATATCTAGAGCCGTGGTACAAAATCTGCAGTTGAAGACCTCCAAGAATCCTAATCCTTATAAGATAAGTTGGGTAAAGAAGGGTATGGAAATAAGTGTCACGGAATCTTGCTGAGTGACATTTTCCATTGGAAAAAAATATGTATGCGAGGTGCTGTGCGACGTCGTCGAGATGGACGTTTGTCATCTCATTTTAGGGAGGCCGTGGCAGTTTGATGTCGGGGCTACTTACGATTGCAGAGCAAATGTATATGCCTTCGAGTGGAAAGGTAAACGACTCCGACTTCTTCCCAACTCTCCAGAATTCAAAGCTACACACTCTGAACCAGCAAAACAGGCGGCCTTGCATATAGTGAACGGGGCTACTTTGCTTCACTGCTGGCGGGAACCAGCTCCGTTGTATGCTTTACTAGTAACCGAGCCAAACACTGCAACCCAACAGAAGGAAATCCCCGCAGATATTCAATGCTTACTACAGCAGTATGAAGTTATTGCACCTGCAGATTTACCAGCGGGGTTATCGCCTCTCCGTCGCATACAGCATCAGATTGATTTCCTCCCTGGCGCATCTCTTCCCAATCTCCCACATTACAGGCTTAATCCGAAAGAACAGAGCATTCTTCAGGGCTTAGTGGAGGAACTAATTGAAAAACAATTGATTCAGACAAGCAGAAGCCCTTGTGCGGTGCCGGCACTCTTAGTTCCAAAGAAAGGGGGAAGTTGGAGGATGTGTATCGACATCCGGGCCATCAACAAGATAACGGTCAAGTACAGATTTCCCGTACCACGTGTTGAAGAATTACTGGATCAACTCACGGGTTCATCTATTTTCTCAAAAATTGACCTACGCAGCGGCTATCATCAAATCAGGATATGACCGGGGGATGAATGGAAAACGGCGTTTAAGACTCCACAAGGACTGTACGAGTGGAGGGTCATGCCGTTCGGGCTGTGCAATGCCCCCTCGACATTCATGAGAATGATGTCAGAAATCTTTAAACAGTACATGGGAAAATTTTGTGTTGTGTATTTTGATGACATTCTAGTATATATCACTGATTGGGAACAGCATTTAAGTCATTTACACAGCCTTTTTGAAATTTTAAAACAACAGAAGTTATTTATCAACCTACCCAAATGTGAGTTTGCTGCTCAAAAGGTTTCTTTGCTCGGCTTCACGATATCGAAGGAAGGTGTTCAGATGGATTCCACAAAGGTAACTGCAATCCTGGACTGGCCGACACCAACTACTTTTTTTGAAGTTCGTAGCTTCCATGGCCTTGCTAATTTTTACCGCAAGTTTATCAAGAATTTCAGCTTGCTAATGGCGCCCGTCACTGAATGCTTAAAGTCCAAGGAATTCCAGTGGGGAGAAGAGCAACAGTCCAGCTTTGAAGCTGTTAAAAAGGATATTAGTTCGGCCCCAGTGCTTGCCCTTCCGAACTTTGACAAATTATTTATTGTGGACACAGACGCCTCCTCTCTTGGTGTAGGTGCGGTTCTATCACAAGAAGGTAAACCCATTGCCTTTTTTAGCGAGAAATTGTGTCCGGCTCGACAAAAGTGGTCAGCTTACAAGCAAGAATTTTATGCAATATTTGTTACATCAAGATTTCATTTTATGCATAAAGCGTTGCAGTATATTAATAGCCAGCGCATGGTAAACCGTATGCATGCGCGATTGGTGATGCTCTTACAAAGATTTTCATTCACAATTAAGCACAAACCGGGGTCCGACAACAAAGTCGTAGATGCTCTTAGCCGGAAACGAATTCTCCTTGCAAAGCTCCAAACGGAGATCACAGGACTCGAATGTCTTAAAGACTTGTATGTGGAAGATCCCGATTTTGGTGGTATATGGAAGCAATGTCAGGAAGAAAATGACGGCTCAGATTACATGATAAGGCATGGATACTTGTTCAAAAAGAATCTCCTATGTATTCCTGTTTCCTCCTGGAGACTCCAACTAATCCGTGAAGCTCACGGTGGCGGTCTAGCTGCACACTTGGGAAGAGAAAACACACTTCGGCAATTACAAACTCGTTTCTTTTGGCTCAGATTGAGGAGAGATGTATTCCATATGGTTGACAGTTGTCCGATATGTCAAACCTATAAGGGAGGCGCGCAGAATATAGGTCTTTACATGCCGTTGCCGGTGCCGGATTCAATTTGGGAAGATCTAGTTTAGACTTCGTTTTGGGCTTGCCACGCACCAGAAGAGGCAACGACTCCATCATGGTGGTCGTCGATAGATTTTAAAAAATGGTCCATTTTATTTCATGTAAGAAAACTTCTAATGCCTTGAACATTGCAACACTTTTTTTTTTTTAACGAAATTGTTCATTTAAACGGCCTCCCTCGAAGCCTTACATCCGACCGTGATGTCAAATTTATAAGCCATTTTTGGAGAGAACTATGGAAACGACTGGGAACAGACCTCCGACTCAGCTCTGCGTACCACCCGCAATCCGACGGACAGACCGAGGTCGTCAACCGAACCTTGGGAAATATGTTGCGATGTCTAGTACTTGACAAACCGGTCAACAGGTAAATCACCTTTCAGTATTGTATACACTAAACAACCTAACATTGCTTTGGACATTACTGTGTTGCCAAAATGCAAATCGTCTGCTGCTACAAACTTCACAGATAAGTACTCAGAGATGCTAGCGGAGGTTCGTCAACAAATCATTAAATCCAACCAGCTTTACAAAGAGGCTGCAGACGATCAACGCCGACATAAGACATTCAAAGTGGGAGATCTAGTTATGGTCAGACTTCGCCGGGAGCGGTTTCCACCGGGGACGTACAGTAAGTTGGCACGCCGCAAAGTCGGCCCTGTGCCTATTGTCACTAAAATCAACGACAGCGCCTACACCGTTGCCTTACCTGCGGATTGCAACACTTCTTCGACTTTTAATGTCTCCGACATTTGGGAGTACAAACCCGCAGACGATGGCGAGATCGCACTCAGCTCGTCGGAGTCGAGCTCTTCTGAAGCCGGGGAGGACTGATGCGGCGGAACACGTTAGCTCGCTTGAGCTAACGAACAGGACACCTCAATAACAACCTCATACGGTGTCCACTACCCCATTTTATCTTTTTACTTGCAGTTTTCTACTTTTGGTTATTTACTGATTTAGTAGACTTTTTAGAAGATGGAACCAGATATAATAGGATGAAAGGAGAAGGAATACATATACCTCACAGCTAATAGTTGTATACAGTTTTTACATATCGATAGAAATATTATAGTTCTCGGTTACAGAACTTGGGTTGTTCTGTTTTCTTTGTGCTTGTGTTCTTTGCAGGTGACAGGCGTTGCATTAAATTCCCTGTTCATGGTAACCCATCATTATTGTTCATGCACTGAGAATGCAGGAGGTGAGTTTGTTTGGAGTAGGATTGATGAATAAGGTAATGCGAGAAGGCGCTTTCTTTCATCACAAGATGTAATTTTCTATTTATCATGATTAAAAGGTTGATTTTTTTCTAAGACTGAAAGCATATTGCCATTATTATATTATATTGGTAGGTTTTCTAAAAATTACTTCATGTATTCTAAATAGTTTAAATATGTTTCGAACAATGTCAAAGCTAAAACTAAACGGCATACTACGATTGCTGTATTGAAACAGAAGTTTATTGGTATGGGCCCGCTTTTCAAAAACCTGGCATACCAGTAATAAAAGTAGTTGTTAATTTAGCGCCTCCATTTTCTAAATGTCTATACAAATTTAATCTTCTTTGAATGTCTGAGAATTTTGCGCACACTGGTTCATGTAAATTATTTTATGATAAAGTTTGATATCATCAATCTTGGAGGGAAAAATGGAAGCTTTTGCAAACATTCTTTGCATATTTTTGAGCATTATTCAATATTTTTCTTATTGTTTATCATAATTCATTCAGGGAGGAAAAGTACTTACTGGAGGATATGCCATAGAATCTAAAGGAAACTTTGTGCAACCTACAATAGTTGAGATATCTTCTGACGCAGAAGTTGTCAAGGAAGAGTTATTTGGTCCTGTCCTTTATGCCATGAAATTCAAGGTAATGTGCCCCTTTTTGCCTCCGCCTCATCATAGGCCCATTATTTTCTATTGGCTACCCTTCTATGTGTTATTCCTATCATTTACGACTTCATGACCCTGCAATATCTGAGCTCGTACGGTGTACTTCTTCAGACATTGAAAGATGCGATAGAAATAAATAACTCAGTGCCTCAAGGTCTAAGTAGCTCCATATTCACTCGGAGGCCAGAGGTCATCTTCAAATGGATTGGGTAAGCTTGGAACTTTAACAATTGATTTGAGATTTCTTTTCCTCTGCAACATATTGTAATCAAAGCTTGTTTAGCTATCAAGATCTATACACACTGTTGTATATTGGTAGTCAAAGTGGACTGGATCTTTGTTGCTTCCATATTCAATACAATGTGGTTATTGACAATGCTTATAGAACTGAGAATTCTAATAAAAACTGGGCATTTTTACATGTTGGTCCCTGTGTTAGAATATGCAAGCAAGATATATTAAATTTCATTTTGCTTGGCGAACATTTTCATTAGTTTATTTGATATCTTTAAGCTCTATTATTACAGTCCTTCAAGTTTCTGAAATTTCATCCTCTCTTGAACTTGTGCAGGCCACTTGGCAGTGACTGTGGCATTGTAAATGTTAACATCCCAACAAATGGCGCTGAAATTGGTGGCGCTTTTGGCGGTGAAAAGGCCACTGGTGGTGGTCGAGAAGCAGGAAGCGACTCATGGAAGCAATACATGCGACGCTCTACTTGGTGAGTTGCCAGCTGATGTAATGTTAACTATATTAGAAAAGAAGATCTTGAATTCGGTTTAGCATTAGATCTGATGGGATCTTTGCTAATGTTTTACTGAAGCTTTGCTATTGGTATTTTTGACATGATATTAACTTGATGCGGGACATTTTAGGGTTTACAATTTTGTTATATATATTTTATTTGATGCGCACAAAATCACAGAATGCACATATTTGTAGCTTTTAAACTCTTAATTTTAATTACTTTTTTATTTGCTTAGATGAAAATAAAAAATTCGAGAAAGGATCTACCTAATGACATATTGGTTCTATTATAAATTGTAGAAATGTAGAAAATAAAAAAAAAGCTTTGAATTTTATTGTTTGTTTCTATATAAAATGTGGAGGTATTTATAGATGCCTCTAAAAGACTTAAATGGAGATAAATTAAAGTTGTTTACAAAGAAAAAGGAATAAAAGCCCTTAAGAGGGGCTGGTGGCTAGAATATGAAGAGGAAGCACATAGATTGCAATCTAAGGAATCATAAGAGGATTGATCTAACAATTAGAACTCTTAATCCATGTGCTCAAGGATTTCAACTAGGATTGGTTGTGGGTACCATGATTCTTTAACACTCTCCATCACATTGAGTGGTATAAATCAGTCATTCAAAGTTTGTTTATAATATTTTTGAATGTGATTGTAGAGTTCTTTAGTGAGAATGTTTGCAAGTTGATTTCATGTAGGCACATATGAAGTGTAGATCAACTAACTTTCTAGTTTCTTTTTTATGAAATTTCTATCCACCTTCACATGCTAGGTACGGCATATTATATTGGATAATAAGCAATGCTAACTGCATAGTTATTGTCATAGCATATCTTTATTGGCCCTTCCCATTTGATTTTTAAAAATTTTAAAATGATTTGATCCACATAAGCTCCCAGATTCATTGGGAAATTGCTATAACTATAGATTCAATGCTAGATCTTGAAACAATAGGTTGGTTCTTGCTTCTCTATGTTATGTGATTTCCTTTGAAAAATGTATAATATCTAGTTATGGATACCCTTCCATTTATAAAATATAGAATTTTTTTTAGAGAATTCTTCTACTAGGACTTTTTTTTAAGGTATTTGAAGATTCTATTAGCTTCTTGAATGTGAGACTCTTTGGGTTTGTGCATGAATTAACTAATGATACTTAATGTAAATATGATTTTTGGACGTGTGTGTGATAGATAAGTTTTTTAATTAATTTTTGATATTATCTCATGTCTACTTTTTTTTATTTGTCTAATTTTTTTCCTTGTTCAGTTGGAGTTTAACAGAATTTACAATCAATTATTTTTGTTTTTTAGCAGATATATGATATATTTTTGTTGAGAAGGAAATATTCTTTATAATGATTGAACAACTAATATTTGCCAAAAGTATTTGAGTCTGCCCAACTCTTAGATCCCAAATTCTTTAGTAAGCCTTTTTCGGGCCTTTTCTTTTTTCTATTGTCATCATATGTGACAATTATGTTGTTAATATCTATGATGAGAAGTAAGATTTTATCATTAGTGGAGTTTTTATGAAGAGGATATGATTTCCTTGGCTTTGTTGTATTTAGATTCATTCATGAATTTTGTGAATCTATCAAACATTGCTCTCGAATATTGTTTAGGTTACAACAATCTTTTTTTAATTTACATATTTTTTTCTTTGTGAGAGAACTATCAAATTCAAGTGGTGGATCCATATAGGCTTATTCAATTATCCCATTTAAAAGGCATTCTTTATATCATATTATTGTATGGACCATCTACGATTAGCCGCAAGTTAAAATTTGAAGCATATTGTATTCATTTTTGTTACAAGAGCAAAAGTTTCATGGTTGTCAATTCTATAAGAATGAGTATATCCTTTGGCTACCTATCTCACTTTATACTATTTTAGGCTTCTATCTGCTCTATCTTTTACATAAAAAACCCATTGATATTATATTATTTTTTCCCTGTGTAGTTTGACGGTCTTCCAAGTATTCATCTTTTATCTCATTACATCCTTCAAATTCTTGTTTTAAGTGCCTCAAATAAAGTTTGTGATGCTGTAATGGAATTAGAATTGATCTTTGTAAGGAATGCTTTATTGGTAGTAGAAATTTTTTTGGTTGTATAATAGAAGATGGGATGCAAAGATGAATGTGTAGTGAGGGATTGATCAATAGGTTTCATTATTACCTAATAATGATTTCAAGTCTTGAGCTTGCAGGAGATTTTGACTAGACTTATTTCTTCTTTTATACACTTAAAGGAGTATAATATCTAGATTTGTTGAAGTTTCTGTTGTAGGAATGCCGAGATGAAAGATAGAAATTTCATTAAATTTATCTTCCAATTGAGTGTTCTCAGTTCTTACCCTGCAAATGAGTTTGATGAAAAACATTGCTTCTCATCAAATGTGATATCTTTTGATGTAAGGTATTTTTATTGGTAGAGTGATGGCATTTATATCATTTTTGAGTGGAAGAATACCCCAATAAAGCACGTTTGAGAGCTCTATGCTCAAATACATCCGTGTTATTTTGGACAATAGATAATATACCCCAAGGTTTTGAGGAATTTTTAGAAAAACTTTATTTGTGAGGAATAATTTAGCCATATAATTTATAAGACTTTGGACTCTTGAGAGTATTCTATTAATTAGGTATGTAGCAGTTAAGAATGCTTCTCAATATATTTTAAGGTCTTGCGATGTGGGTTCTCGCTTTATATTATTCCATGAGGAACAGAATCCTCGATTGACTAGGCATCACAGGATGGTTGCCAATTCTATGCAGGTCTAGCGCAAAGGATTCTAAAATATTGGAAGAACGTAAAATTGTTATTGTTAACCTTTACTAGGGTTATTTTTGCCCATAAAATGTATTTTAAGATGATTTGTATATACTTAATCCTGTGTTTTCCTGTATACTTATTGAGTAATGCAGTCAAATCGTAATCAAGTAATAGTTTAATACAATATAAAGTATTATATGAAAGTATTTAGTTGTTTTGGCATAATCTAAAATCTAAGAATTAATGTAAAACTGTCATTGATAGGAACTTTTGTTTAATAAAATCATTATTCTTTTCATAGATGTTTCATACAAAAATTTTGTAACACTAGTTAAGAATGCAAGAAAAAAAAATAATTTATAGTTTCAAAATAGTGTTTTTCATTTGATGTTTATGTTCATTTGCAATTTCATGGTGTTTTTATAAGTATAGGTCCAACCACGAGTCGTTTTACGTTATGGATCAAACAGTACTTATGAATGAAAAGTAAGCATATAATATCTTTTACAGATTCATATTAGTGCATACTTGTTAGAAGTGTTATTATATATTGTGCTTAAAGATTGAACTGTATGTATTACGTGAAGGTATTGTTTTACTTTTAGTACTATGATCAAGTAGTGTTGGATTGCTTGGCCATGCAAAAATAGGGAAGTGGAATAGAAAACCCTACTTACAAAGGAGTTTTGTTGATTGGTGTCCATGACTACCATGGCCCAAACAATGAAGGCTATATATTGACATTAGTTGTGGCTTGAAAGGCAACCCAAAAAAAATCATTTTAAGTGCTTTTTTAGGTGAGTGAAACATTATTCTTTTTTATTTTGCATAGCAACTTTTTGATTGTCTTTGCTAATAAAAGAACATATTAAAAAAGGAAAAAAAGGAAAGAAAAAAACATGTTAAAAAAAAGTGACGAGGAAAAGCTTTGTTTGGAACTTGAACAACTTCCCATAAATTTACTCGACCTGAGATTCATTTTGCAACTTTTTATTGGCTTAATAAGCTTTATACTTTTGCTGAATACTCCACCTAATTGATTTGAACTTTAAACTTTTCAATTGAGCTTTTCTGAATTGATAAGCAACATCTCGCAGCACAATCAACTATGGAAGTGAGCTGCCGCTAGCTCAAGGAATCAACTTCGGGTAGTCCCAACTATCTTCAGGTCAGCTTTTCTTTATTCTTCAATGAGCAATACTAAATAATTATATATTTCTTAATCAAATTTCTAATATAGAATGCTGGAATCAACTTCGGGTAGTCCCAACCATCTTCAGGTCTGCTTTTCTTTATTCTTCAATGAGCAATACTAAATAATTATATATTTCTTAATCAAATTTCTAATATAGAATGCTGAAATAAATCATGCACCATAAATGGGTTCTGATTCCAGTCAATGTTAAATAATTGCTTCCAATGCATGATTGTTTTTTACATCTGAATCAATATAAGACTTGATTATGTCTTATTGGCATGCCGTGCATTAGTAGGATTTCTTTCGGCACGGACTCTTAGGCTTTGTTTGGGACGGTTTTCTTACTGCTTCTTAAAGCAGTTTTTTAAGAAGCTGCTTTAAGAAGCAGAAAGAATGCCGTCCCAAACGAAGCCTTAATCCAACCTTACCTCGCTCATCGTTTGGTCATTACCGGGTCCCGGCTCACTTAACGGCCTACCCTCCATGCTTGTTTTACCTACACAAGCGATCGCT